TGAATCTAACAACACAATACCCATATTCTAAAGAACCACAAAGAGCACCTTCCCATATTTCATTCTCATAATTAAACCAAATCAAAGAAGTAATAAAAAGAAAATCATGTAATACATTAGTCATGATCAATTTCAAGAGAAGTAACAACATACTTACGTTTAATATGTCAACTAAAAAGATTTATGTATACATACTTACAAAGACACTTATTACGTAACTCCTTTTATTTAACTTCTAATTTAAGGAACATACTTCAAAATCAACATTTAATGAAACGTATTAAAAGTTTGAGTTATTCGCTAAAATAACCATATTTGCATATCAAATATACTCACTTGTCCAAAAAAAATATTTTTCACAAAATGTCGATATACCTAGCACATTTGAATAGTCAATTCTCGATTACACCCACAACCATTGCCCAAATTCATCTTCACGGGGATGGAAAAACTCGTCGCTATTAAGATGAATATGAGATCCAGGGTATTCTCCAAAACATGGAAGGATGATATCGGACACGAAGGATAGAAAAATAATCAACAAATCTTATCTGATCCCACTACCAAGAGAATACATAGTTTCATTTGATGTTCTTGTGGATATGTACTCGAAGTCTCGTTCACTAAAACCTCCATGTCTGGCATCATAATTATTCTAGAAACATATTTCATGTTATTTTTTTCCTTTTTTTTCTTCATCGTAAAAGTCTCCGTTTTGAGTATGTCAAAAATATTAAAATAATATCCATTTCCATTTAAAAAGAAAACTAAAATCCGAGATCTTAATCTAAATCTTCATATGCATAAAAAGAAACCTACTTTGTGTCTTCATCTTTTCCATTATGATATTTTTTTTCTTACTTAAAAAACAAAAATACTAGATCTTCATCAAAACCCTATATATATATATATATATATATATATATATATATATATATATATATATATATATATATATATATATATATATATATATATATATATATATATATATATATTCATACTTAGCAAATTCACAACCTAAATTTAGGAGGTTTACGATAAAAAAATATGCTTTTGGGTTAGAAAAAACAACATCATCGACCTTTTTTTCACGGACATGATACCAACATATGATCATTTTAGTGAATAACTCTAAAATTTTATAATCAAATAAATATCAATTACCAATAAGAGCATCTTCAATGATAGTTTTTTTCTAAAGTTTTTTTTTTTTTTCTGTTTTAAAAAGCATTTAAAATGATTTTACCAACGATGACATAAATTATTTGTACAATTCACTCAAACCATTTAGAATTTTCAAAATTATTATTGTAACAGTGTTTTATAATATTTTATTTTACCCTTCAATCATATTAAACTATTATATATTTATTAATATATCGCCTATGAGATTTATTTTATTAATATATCATTCGACAAAAATAAAAAACTTTTTAATAAGTTAACCATTAGAAATGTTATAAGTCAATCTCGATTTTAGGTAACCATATCCTTAATTCAGTTATCGACTAACAACATTAGCACTTAAACCTCTTATTTTGAAAACACATCCCCTAAAATAGACACCCAACAATTCTACCGTATAAGCAAAATCACTTCGTATAGGCTTCTCATTCTTCTACAAAGCTCAATTACACAAACAAAACTCCACTGAAGATACGAAGAAAAAAAGACTAACCAAGGCATAAAACATCTCACAAAAAGAACTAGGTTTATTCATTATTAAAACACCTCAAATTCTAGGTTTAACGGTCAAACTATAACATAACAAAATTTCAAAACACACATATCACATATTAGGACAAGAGGTGTATGTAATCAAGATGAGATTTGTTCATTTTATGTGTTGAGAGCTAAACATCTAACGCGCGTGGCGCGAAAGTTGAATACCAAATGAAATTTATTGTGATCAAAATCTCATGTTCAACAAGATGTATGTAGTGAATAGATAATTGATAAACTTATCTTATACATCAATTTTAGCTTTGAGCTTTTGAGAATCACATGTTGATGAATGTCATTTCCGTCTTGAGTTATTAGCGGCGGTGAAATGTTGCTATACCTTCATCGTTGTTTATATCAATTATGATGAATCTTGTAAAAATGAGAGATTAAAAGATCTATATATACAAGATTCATTATAGACTGATATTTGCTAATCATATATGAGCCTGTAAGGCCATACCATATAGAAAATTATCACTTATTGATTATTTATTAGAATCTGATTACTAATAAATATTATCAACACTTATCTTTAATTGGAAAATTATTATTTATGGAAATAATATTTTTTTAGAGAGAAAACAACTAGTAAATCATAAAGTAAGATTTTATATGTTTTGTACATCTCTTTGGACCTTTTTAATTCCATTTATATAGATATAGGTTACATAATTATAAGATGCAAATGCTAGTAAATAAGAAGGAATAAAAGACAAAATCTCTTTTATTTTTACAAGCCAAAGTCGTGGCTTGTCCAAGGCATGGTGAGGTTGCTTGTGAAGCAACCTCTTACACCTCATGCTTCTTATTTACACCATTCTTTCATTTATTAAAAGGTATGGTCCTTCTTACATGCATGTAAGTATATAAAGAGAAGAATAGCAAGACTTTTGAGCTAGTTTTTCTAAGCTTTAGAGATCTTTCTGTCTCCATCTCTTGCAACTTGTTTGTTTCTAGGGTGCTTATAAAGTTGCTTCTCCTTAAGACTAATTTAGTATTAGTTTTTAATGGCTTAAGAAATGTTTCATACAGGTGAAGCCTAGCATCTTGAAGTGATTTATATTTGCTTGGTGGATACATATAGATAGCCTCTATTTTGAGTCTTTTGCTTCGCTTCATCAACTTCCAATCTCCCATGAGAATTATAGACTTCGAAGATTATATTTTCCTCTTTGTTGTTGATTTAATTTTTCCATGATTGCAAAATGACCATTGATAGGTATAAAATGGTTTTATTATTATTATTCAAGTTTTATTGCTTTCATTATCGTTTTAGCATTTTTTTGTGAAAACGATTTTGAATAAAACCCAACAAAAGCATGCACCCTTTTTACGCTCTTTGTAGATCACATGCTTCTAAAGCATGATTTATGTTAAAGAATCCAACAAATCAATACCTAAATTAGAAAGAATCACAAAGAGCACCTATTTCATTTTCATAATTAAACCACATCAAAGAAGTAATAAGAGAAAATGATGTCATGATCAATTTCAAGAGAAGTAACAAAACCCTTACCTTTTAATCTCTTAACAAACAAGAATTGTGTATACAAAGACACACTTACTACATAAGTCCTTTTATTAAACTTCTATTTTAAGTATATGCTTCAAAATCAACGTTTAATGAAACATGTTAAAAATTTGAGTTATTCACCAAAATAATCATATTTAGATGTCAAATAGACTCATTTGTCCAACTTTTTATCTTTTATCACAAAATGCCCATATACCTAGCACGTTTAGATCGCCAATTCACGACTACACCCACAATCGCCACCAAATTTCTTCTTCATAGGGATGGGAAAATCCCTCACTTCGTGTTTGAAGTCTCCTTTACTAAAATCCACCATGTTTGGCATCATAACTAATCTAAACCCAAATTTTGTTTTCTTCTTCCCTGTTTCCTTCATCCCATTTTTTTATCGTAAATTTTTTTAAGTCAAAAAGATTTTTCATTTCCATTTTGAGAAGAAAATAAAAATCTCTTATCTTACTCTTCATCTCCATATACATAAAAAAACCTACTTCTCTCTCTTAATCTCATCCATCATGACATTTTCTTTCTTACTTGAAAATTAGAATACTAGATCTTCATCAAAACCTTAGATTTTTTTTCATACTCCTAAATTCCATTTTTAGAAGAAAATAAAAATCTCAATCTTACTCTTCATCTCCATATGCATAAAAAAAACCTACTTCTCTATCTTAATATCATCCATTATAACATTTTTTTTCTTACTTGAAAATTAGAATACTAGATTTTCATCAAAACCTTAGATTTTTTTTCATACTCCTAAATTCGCAACCTAAATTTAGGAGAGCTTTACAATTAAAAAAAATTGTGTTTGTATGTCAGATAAACTACATCACGAACCTTTTTTCATGGACATGAATTTATAATCATATTAACCGTAAAACTTTATAATAAGATAAGTATCAATCACCAATAAAAACATAGATAAGTATCAATCACCAATAAAAACATAATAGTATTTTTTTTTCAATTTGAAAAAAAACATTTAAAAATGTTTTTATCATTAGATATAAGACAGATTATTTGTAGAGGTCACTGCAATCATTTAGAGTTTTCTAAGCGGTTGTTGTAATAGTGTTTATAATATTTTATTTTACCCTTTAATCATATTAAACTATTCTATATTTTACTACTGTTTTGCCTATTTAATTTATTTTATTAAACATACAAAATAGAAAATAACTTCTTATTTATGGATAAATATATCATTGAAATTCTCTCTCTCTCTCTCTCTCTCTCTCTCTCTATATATATATATATATATATATATATATATATATATATATATATATAATAATAATAATAAATTAAAAGAGGGTTAATGTTCAAAAACATATATTTATGATCGGAAAGATAGGTTTTGGTTGAATAAATATTAATGAAAATGTCATCCGACAAAACTAAAAGGCTTTTTAATAAGTTAGCCATTAGAAATATTCTAAGTCAATCTCGATTGTAGACACCTATCAATTCTATGATACAAACAAAATGGCTTCATATAGGCTTCTCATTCTTCTGCAACCCTCAATTACACAAACAATATTGCATCATAGATATGGAGAAAAAGACCAACAAAGGCATTATATACATCACCAAAAAAAAAAAAAAAAAAAAAACTAGTTTTATTCATTATTAAAACACCTTAACTTTTAGATTTAAGACTCAAACTATAACATATCAAAAGTTGAAAACACAAACAAACAACACATATCACTACAAACTTGCCCATATCTAAATTCTAAAAACGAGTATAGATTCTATACGAACGCTTGCGATGTCCACCTTTCCCCTTCGCAGCCTTCTTTGGAACACGCGGAATCGGAACTCGAGTTGGCCACCTCGGAATCACAAATGGCACCACCACTCGCCATGAAAGATCTTCAACAACACCAATAGGTTTACAAGCCACATCTAACCTTTTATTCTCGATATCATAGGATACAACACAATTAAGCTCCTCGCACCTCAGGTAAACAATATTCAGATCGAAAGGGTTGAAAGATAATGGAAGGAAATTAGCAGTCATTAACCAGGAGGTTAACTCAGGATCCGAAGATGAAAGATCACTCCGAGTCACTTTAAACTCAGAGCACCATTCTCCTTTCTCATAATCTTTCAAATCCCACATGCTAAAACAGTAAAACGAAGAAGGTTCAGGTGATACCTCGAAAAATCGAAGCTTACCTTGCGTTTCATCACATAATCGATAAATCCCTTCGTATTCGTACTCACTGTCGATGTCTCTTTCATCTGGGAATGGAATAACGCGACACGATTTTTGATTTCGATAGGGATCAAAAGCAACCATGCCATGAATGTCGACAAACCAATGAAGGATGCCCTTATAGGTGATAGGACCTCCACCTCGTTTCAGAAGGGCGATTGGTTTGCTACAGGGTAACTTATAATCGGCCCATTTTCCAGTATCAGATGAAAAGGTTTCAAGATTGAGATAGTTTGAGGGTGAACTGAGTAGTTCTACTCTGACAACGGTGAAGCTTACGAGAACATTGTCTTCGTTTACTTTACTAACAAATCCCTCGCCGAAGAAAATTGGGTGGCGATTTGTGGATCTGTCTTTCGGTCGAGGTAAAGTAACCGATTGTCTGGTTACCGGATCGCAAACATAGTAAACCAGAGGTCCTAATAAACAACAGAGAACCAAGCCATTGCTGACACCCAAGACTTTGAATTGATCAGATTGTTGTTGTTCTTCGATAGTAGAGAGAAAAAGGACTGAGAATTTTGAGGAATTGTAATTCTCGGGACGGAATCGATCAAGAACGTCTGTGAATTTCGACACATAAATGTACCTATACAAAATTCTGAAAGGTATGGATGATGAGGATGCGCTATCTGTGAGCATACGCGAGCAATAGAAACGGGAAAATGAAGGCTGAGAAATTAGGTCTAGCCAGTGTTTGCAAACACATTTGAACCTAAAAAGTGATTTCAGGGGCAATCTTGCGAGGATTTCGAGAAGGAGAGACTCAGTGAGGTTTTGAATATTGTATGAGAAGGTATGAGCAAGGAGAACAAGCCCTAGAACTGATGATTCGGAAAGAGGGTTTACTTGTGTTGAATCGATTGGTGTGATTACCTGAGATTGAGATTGAGATTGAGATTGAGAGTGTTTTCTCTTTCTTGAATAGGTGATGATCTGATGAGGGTGGCTCGGAAATGACTTCTGATCACCATCATCGTCGATGTGATTGTCGATTTGATTGATTGAATGGTTGGGTTCCATTAGCGGTGGTTTGAGGTTGGAAATGGAAAGAGCGCCACCAAGGCTAGTTCTTGGTGAAAGTTCATACACTAAAATTAGGTTGCCACAATTACAGACACAAGAACGCCCTTTTAAAGGGCTCTCGATGCTATAAGAATGTAGTTGGCTTTTAATGCTTTGACTACTTTAAAAGAAATATATTCAGAAATATTGACTAAAAAACAATACATAAATGAAAGTTGATGAACAAATAACCAATTATTTAAAATATTAAAAAAGTTGATGAACCGATAACAATTTATTTATAGCATTCTAAAAATAGTACTATGTAGTAAATATTAGTTGTAGGTTTTCTTTTTTCTTTTTTTGTTTTTTGTTTTTGTTTTTTTTTTTGTTTTTTTGTTTTTTTGTTAAATCTATGGTTTTAAGAATGTAACATCCGGTTTCAGATATGAATTTGATGTTTAAGGGGCTGTTTGTTTTTTTTTTGTGAAGAGCTACGCAATCACTTTTATCTGTGCCGCGTAGACATATGCCCTCGCAGAGTGTTTGTTTTTTGGAAAATGCGCAGATCAAAAACGTCTGCGCGAGGTCTTCCTGACGCAGACATGGGTCACTGTCTTCAAAGGTCTTCAGACCTCATTTTAACTATAAAAATTAAAAATAAAAATAAAATAAAATTAAAAAAAATTAAAAAAAAAAAAAGACCACTCGTTTTTTTTTTCTCTTTTTGCTGAAAATGCATTTTTAATCTTTATGATATGAAATTAAGTTTGAAAAATTAATTTATTTCAACAGCTGAAGACGTTAAAAACAAAAAAACTTCTTATAGCAGACTGCAGACATTTGGTCCACCTCTTCTGCCGCAGAGGCTTGCAGATGTGATCCGTAGACTACAGTCATTTTGGCTTCAAAAAAACAAACAGCACCTAAATTTTGTGTAATCTTGGTGGCCACGCCGTGGTGGAGAAGATCACCACAATGTGACAACAAATTTTGTGTCGCGATCTATTTTAGTTTAAAAATAATTTATATGTTTAAAATGTTTGTGTTTCAGAAATAATAAAATATCATATTTTTTATAAAAATAAATATATTTATATAATAAATTAGACAAATATATTTATATTTTATATGTTTAAAATGTTTATATTTATTTTTTATGTTTAAAATGTTTATGATATTTTTATAAAAAACATATGATAATATTATTATGTATTTAAACATATAAAAAATATGATACATTAGTATTTCTGAAATACAGACCTTTTAAACATATAAAATATTTTTATCTGCTTTTTAAAAAAATTAATTGAATGTAATTGATGCCATATTATTCATATTAACTATTTTATCATAATTAATTATTAACTAACAGATGTTTTTAAATTTTGTTTTGAAAAGTTGAAGTATTAATTAAGAAATATATTCAAATTTTGATAAAACTAGGTAATTTTTTTTAAAATTTAAATATAAAAAATTTATATCAAACCAATATAAAAGTTACCGTATTTAAAGCTAAAAATATGTTTCAGTAGAAAACTATAGTTTTATCAAATTTTGAATATATATTTATATTTTTTATGTTTATAATCTTAAGGGATTTTTTGCAAAATATTTTGTAAACTTAAGGGTTTTTTCGCAAAAAATAATTCATAGTAACCTGGAAACCTGTAATAAACCTGCTATTACAGGTAACAAGGGTAAAACCGACAAAAAATGACAAGTTTGCGGTATAAACGAACCAAAAATCTGCCGAAGGGTAAAACCGATATTTTTTGTCAAACTTAAGGCTTTTTATGATACTATCCCTATAATTAATTGGAAATTATTTATTTCATGGAAATATTAATTTTCAATGGCAAATAACATAATATATCATTATTAGGTCATGTACATCATTTTGGATTAGAAAGAATTTTGTCTTTTAGCTAAAAAGATAGGTTTTATATCTTATAGTAAAACTTAAAGAGAATTTTATACCTTTTGTCCTCTTGCTTGGCCTCAAAACTATAGGTACTCAAGACAAGAGACAAGTTCTCTTTTGAATTAGTTTAGTAGCCGAATCCCCACGTGTTCCGCGTGAATATAATTATTTAATTAAAATACTAACATTTAACAAATTGTGATTTAATATTTATACATGTAAAACCAATGTCAATAAAAAAAACAAAATCTATAGTTAACATATTAGTTTTATTAATTTTAATAAGTTTATATCATTAGTTATTTATACTATTAATTCGTGATTTTATAATCCGTTTTATGTTGTGTAAATTATATATCAAACATATATTGATTTCTATGTATAAACAAAACAAAGTTGTATGAAAAAAAAAATACTACAACTTTTGATGATTTTATAGAACGTTTTAATCGTGAAAATTATACATAAAACGTATTCCGATTTGTTTATATAAAACAAATAACAAATAGTATGAAAAACACTATAGATTTTAATAAAATAAAAAAACTACAACATTATAACATTTACATCAAACAAAACTTATTAAACACTTATAAATCATTCAAAATGAATATTTTGAAATCAAAATACATTTGATCTATAGAAACATTGTTATAAAAAAATTGTGTTGAAATAACCATTGATACGACAAAACTTTTTTTTTTCAACCCTTTTATTTTGAATCACAAATCTTTTCAAACATATGGTTTTCTAATCAAAACTTACTTATATACTCTAATATAGCTACAATGTGAAATGACATTGCATATTAATAACCATCAGTTTAATAAAACTTTTGAATGTAGTGGAAAATATATAGGCAGATAGATTATATTTAAAATCATAATTACATTTAAATAAAAAAAAAACTATTGAGTTGTAGTGGGATATTTAAACTCTTGATTTGTGCCCAATAAGAAATATATTCAGAGATATTGATTAAATACAATAGAGTAAGTGATAGTTGATGAACTGATAACAATTTATTTAAAACATTAAAAAAGTTGGATGAACTGATAACAAATTATTTAAAGCATTCTAAAATTAGTACTATGTAATAAATATTAATTTTAGGTCTTCCTTTTTTGTTTTTTTTTTTAAATCTAGGGTTGTGAGACTGTAACATCCAGTTTCAAGTATGAATTTGATGCTTAAATCTTGTGCAATCTTGGTGGCCACGACGTGGTGGGAAGATCACTATGACGTAACAACCAATTTTGGGTCGTGATCTTTTTTAGTGGCCACGACATGGTCATGTATTGGCCACGACGTGGCGATGTCTTAGGCTCGAACCTAATTTTCCGGGGTTAATGTTATATTTAAAGGATGTGATAGGTAGGGTTTCGTCCATCCCCAACCTCCATCACCCTCCAAGTCCAAAAACCAAACCCTAATAACTTGATTCCTTATTTGAGCTCTATTTAGTGTTCTTAGTGATCATTGAAGCAATAAGAACTTTCTAGTTAAGGGAACCTTTTGGCAATCTTAGGGATTTAATTTGAGTAACTTCTTGACATTTGCAATTCATCTATTTTGGATCTTGATGGTTGGTTTCTTGTAGATTTAGGAGTTGAAAGATCTAGTATGCTCAAGAGTCGTATTACAGTGATATTGTTAATTAACATATGATCCTAAAAGTCACACTAACAACTTGATATAACTGATTATTTATTAGAATTTGATTTTAATAAATATTCAATAAACTCTTATAATTAATTGGAAATTATTTATTTCATGGAAATATTCTTTTTCAATGGCAAATATATGGTATGATTTATTAGGTCATGTATACCATTTTGGACTAGAAACACTTTTGTCTTTTAGCTAAAAAGATAGGTTTTATATCTTATAAAACTTAAAGAGAATTTTATACCTTTTGTCCTCTTGCTTGGCCTCAAAACTATGAGTACCTAGGGACAAGATACAAGTTCTCTTTTGTATTAGTTTACTAGTCGAATCTCTGCGCATTGTGCGTGAATATAATTATTTAATTAAAAGACTAACATTTAACAAATTGTGATTTAATATTTATACATGTAAAACCAATGTCAATAGAAAAACAAACTATATAGTTAACATATTAGTTTTATTAATTTTAATAAGTTTATATCATTAGTTATTCATACTATTAATTCATGATTTTATAGACCGTTTTATGTTTTGTAAATTATATATCAAACATATATTGATTTCTATGTATAAACAAAACAAAGTTGTATGAAAAAAATACTACAACTTTTGATGATTTTATAGAACGTTTTAAGTCGTGGAAATTATATATAAAACGTATTTCGATTTGTATATATAAAACAAATAAAACTTATTAAACACTTAACAATCATTCAAAAGGTTTACTTATATACTACTAATATAACTATTTCTAAAATATTATACCATTTATGTCAAACAAAACGTATTTCTAAAGATCAACCCTTTTATTTTGAATCACAAATCTTTTTACATATGGTTTTTTAATCAAAGGTTTACTTATATACTACTAATATAACTATAATGTGAAATAGCATTGCATATTAATAACCGTCGGTTTAAAAAACCTTTGAATGTAGTGGAAAATATATAGTCAAATTACATTAAATTTGAAATCATAATTACATTTAAATAAATAAATAAATAAAAACTATTGAGTTGTAGTGGGAGTTTTAAACTCTTGATTTGTGCCTGATAATGTAATATAAATATTAACAGTTATATGTTATAAAAATAATATTATAAGTATCTATTATTGAAATAATATTTTTTTAAATAAGTTGTAACTAATATTATAATAATTTTAAGTGTGCGATAAGGAATATATAAAAAGTTGTGTTTGAATTAAATTGAATTAAGTTTTTTATTTAAAATTATTTTAAATTATAGGTACTTTTAACTAATTTATAAATAATTTATTTGAATATTTTTTATTTCCTATATTATTATTATTATTATTATTATTATTGTTGTTGTTGTTGTTGTTGTTGTTGGTGGTGGTGGTGGTGTTGTTGTTGTTAA